CCAATCTCCCTGGTTTGGATTGGCTTTTAGTCGGCGAGATTGTGGTAACTGTTGGTAACAGTGGGAACAATGAGCTGCGGGCCAGACTGGGTCAGTCATAGGTGCCGCTGGCCGCCCTGGCGTCCTGATGACCTGGGATCCGAAGCATCCGCCCCGCTCCTCCCGACTCTCCACGAGCCTAGCTAGGGCTCCAGGACGTGCCCTGGAGGTCAGCCACAGGGTAAGGGGCACCCCTTCCCAGACCAAGAGCCCCTCGGGTCCTTGCCCGAAGGGCCCAGCCAGCCTGAGACTGCCCCAGGGGTCTGTGGCGGAGGGGGTGGAGCATTGGGACCGCACACTTCCACTAAGGACTGGAGGCCACCCCTGATACACACTAACGACGTACACTGACCTCTTCCTACTCACCACCTGCTGCATATATAATTATGGCAGTTTAGAAAGTAGGTAACAGACCGTACATTTGGGCCTTGACTCTCCAAAATTATATATATATCCCCTAAAATGTTGTCCCCCTAAAGTGCAAACTGAGAAGGGAAGGTTCTCTGAGGAATCATACAAACAGAGTTGAAGGCAGTTAAGATAATGGCTTAAAGAATAATTGTTTTTCCCCCTGGTATGTTAATCAGTTAATTTGAAATCTGACTTTTCCCCCTGATCAGGTTACTGACATTGCTTCACAAATTCAATACCTTTTCTGGGTAATATCCTCTTCCACCCTGTGCAACTGCAGGTTCAAATTCTACCTTCTTGAAATTCACTCTCTCAGCTCCTATTGTCTTTTTGTTTCTCCTAACTCTATAACTGTCCTTCTTCTGTCCCCTTACCAAACTTGCCTCCTTTCTCCTCTTTCTAAAGGCAGATACCTCACAAGAATCTTACCTGGGACCCACTCTCTCCTCTGGGCTGACCTGACTCGCCAGGCTGTACCTACTCTGAAATCTCTGGTGAGCTCCCTTGTCCACTTGCAGCTCTCTGCTGGATACCTTAGCCTGTTTGTTCCACCAGCGCCTCAGACCCAGCATTTCCAGGCTGAATTTGTCCTCTCTAACCAATAGTCACTTTTATCATCATCATGTTACCACATTACCATCATCACCTGGGACTCCCCTGGCCTTCTTCTCCACCTCCAGCTACTTGCCAGTTCCCCTCTGCTCTCTCTGCACATCCCATGCCAGAGCTGTTCACTGCTCATTCCCACTTGCCACTATCCCAGGGCAGTCTCATCTGCTCTTGCTTTGATTTTCCAAAGGCAGCCTTGCTTCCTATCTGCACTTCTCTGCACCCGAGGCCATCATGCATGTCACTGCAAGTCATCTTCCTGGGGCCTAGTTTTTTTTCCACATCTTTTCTCCAGTTTAAAATTCTGTCTCCTGTTTCCCTATAACTGCAAAATTGAGTCCAGTGATTTTAAAATAACTTGATAATGGATATTGTTAAAAGCATTGATGTAGTTGTCTTGGTAAAAATCAGAATCTTGTTGGACTTACACTGATTTAACCATGCAGTTAGTATATATATTTCATATACATGTGCATATATATATGTATGTATATGTATATCATAAAATAAAATTAATTTTAAATGGTAAATTGCATAAACTATGTGATTTTAAGTTAGAGAGTTCTTAGGCCTGTAAAGTTTTGCTTGCACGCTAAGTATACTCTTTGAGCTTAAATTTCAAAGTTAGCACAAATAATATGACCCCAAATCATCTTTCTTAATTTATTTCTCACAGTTGCCTTCCATGTGCCTTTCATTGTAGCCAAAGGCTGCACAGTCCCATACTCTTCAAATTTTCTTCCTCACATCTTCTCTTTTGTGTAATTACTTCTCTCTGACTAAAACATCCACCCATCCGTATCCTAGTTCTAATTTCTCCTCGCCCTTTCAAGCTCACCCCAACTGAAATCTCAGCATTCCCAAGCTGAATTCACCAGAGCATATTTGGTGAATTGTCAGAGCCCTTAACAATCTTCCTTTGCAGTGTTTGATGGATAAATGGGCAGATAAGGTGTAGTTCATACATGCAATGGAATATTATTCAGCCTTAAAAAGGAAGGAAATTCTGACACACACTACAACATAGATGATTCTTTTTAAAAATATATATTTTACTGATTTTTTACAGAGAGGAAGGGATAGGGATAGAGAGTTAGAAACATCGATGAGAGAGAAACATTAGCTGCCTCTTGCACATCCCCTACTGGGGATGTGCCCGCAACCAAGGTACATGCCCTTGACTGGAATCAAACCTGGGACCCTTGAGTCCGCAGGCTGATGCTCTATCCACTGAGCCAAACTAGTTAGGGCAACATAGATGATCCTTGAAGACATTATGCTAAGTGAAATAAGCCAATCACAAAAGGAGAAAAACTTGTGATTCTACTTCCATGGGGTACTGAGCATAGTCAAATTCATAGGAATGGAAAGTAGAAGGGTGGTAGCCAGGGGATGGGGAGGGAGGAAATGCGGAGTTAGTGTTTACTGGGTGCAGAGTCTCATTTGAGAAGAGAAAACCTTCTGGAAATGGATGGTGGAGATGCTTGCACAGCAATGTGAATGTGCTGAACTGTAGGGTTAAAATAGTAAGTTGTATATTATGTATGTTTTACCACAATTAAAAAAAAAAACCTCTCTCAGGGGAAGAATGCTTTTTGTGCTTCTTTAGATGAAAGGAATATACTGCTAATGAAGTTGTGTGTTGATTGGGAATTGGAGCTGTTCCACAGTGGAGTCACTGAAACTTGAAACCTCTTGGCCCATCTTTGTGTTCTTTGGCACTTTGGCATTAATACATGATTCCAGATTCATAGGAAATTTTTGGTTGGAAAGAAACATATCATGATCAAAATCTGTGTAAATAAATAATTGATTACGCCAGTGGTTTCTGAATTATGCTGATAGCTTCAATTTCCCTTTTCATCTCTTAATTTTCAAAACTTAATTTAAATGCTTAATCATTCTGTGGCTAAACTTTTCAAAATGTGTATTAATCTCTGATTACTAAATTAATATGTGCTTATTATAAAATATTCAAACATTATTAAAAAGTATATTGTTTAGAAAGTGAAAGCTCCCCATGATCTCAGGTGATAACTGTTATTTACAGTTTGGAGTGTGTGTATTTTATGTGCATATAAATGTATAGTAATGAAAATACTGTTATTCTTTCACATATCCTAGCAATGGAATTGTTACTTAAAAATACATTTCTGATATTATTATATGATCAGATATCTATCTCATTTTTTTAAAAATATATTTTATTGATTTTTTACAAAGAGGAAGGGAGAGAGATAGAGAGTTAGAAACATCGATGAGAGAGAAACATTGATCAGCTGCCTCCTGCACATCTCCCACTGGGGATGTGCCCGCAACCCAGGTACATGCCCTTGACCGGAATCGAACCCAGGCCCCTTCAGTCCGCACGCAGGCTGATGCTCTATCCACTGAGCCAAACCGGTTTTGGCTTATCTCATATTTTTAAGCTACTGTGCAGTATTCTATTGTGAAGCTATATCTTAATTTAAATCATATATCAATTAATGGTACATATATCATAACTCTGATAATGTATGCTGAGGTGAACAATGATATTCAATTTTGTGTGTGTGTTTGTGTACCACTGTGTTTCTGAGTGCTAGACATGGAATGACGGTATCAAGTTAAAAGCACATTTATAATTTTAATAGGTAGCTGATAAATTTTAATTCTACCTTGGCTGGCCTTTAACATCCCAAATACTTTGGCAAAGTTGCAATTGACCATATATAAGCTGAAGGTTTAGATATTTCAGTTAAAGTACCCAGATGAAGATATGTAAGCCTGATGTATTGGGTTTTTCCAATCCCCAGATTCAGCTTGCTTGTTAGAGTAACAAAATACCTTGATGGAAATGCCAATACCTGATCCAATGAACTCTCTAAGCCTCAAGATTCAGCTTGCATAACAGGGTAACTAAGGAAGTTTAGGACAATAAATTAGCAGCTGTTCCCCATCCCTAGCATATCTACCTTCATCACTTCTTTAGATATGTTCTCATCTGATTAAATCTAACTCCTCTTAAAAGTCCTCTACTAAACAACAAAACCATTGTCAAAACTTCATAAATCACTTACTGACATTACAACCTCACCACCCACAACAAATCCCAGTTGAAATTTGGTGATTGTTTTGACTCTGATAATTACAATGTTTGTCAGAGTCCAGAAGTGCAATGACTATACTTTCCACTTCTGTTGTGTCTTGTTAGGTTTATTCCTTCATGGAAAATTACAGACAGGCTTTAATTTTTCCATATAATCTTAGGCCATGTGGCCTATAAATGTTATTTTATAATTTAACAAAGGACCACAAAAGAAAAGAAAAGTACCTAACTAGTTGTTGTTGGATTTGTATTTTCAAAACAAAGCTTATGGGAATAAAAATTGTTTCTTCTTCACCAAAAATTCCCACGGTGCAGTAATTCATGAAAATTAAAGACATGATTTCTTTGCAAAGAAAGGCAATGACATTTATTCACTCATTCATTCATTTGTGTGACATTTATTGAGAATTTACAGGGTGCCAAGCACCTGTATGAAAATGTGCATTATAGTCCCTTCACCTCCAACCTTGATATTGTCTTCTGTAAATATGGAAAACCTACCAAATATAAATTCTTTGTGTTTGAAGGAACATTTAAGAATATTTAAAGACTAAATCACTCTACCTCATAGAGAATGAAAACTTTTTTTTGGAGTATATGTACACATATTTTTTTCTCTTTGATTAAAAATTATTTAACACATCTGTGCCCAGGATTAAGGATAATGAAATTCAACCACAAAAATGATTAAATAATATATAATTGTAGTGTTGGAATTTATCAGTGTAGAGTGGCTGCCTCCATATTCACCTTTCCTTTGATCTCCTTGTAGACCTTATTGTTATTGACTTCAAATGTCTCCGTATTTTTGCTCAGTGGAATGTGCCTTGACAGAGTAATTATATGTTATCAGGCAGTTGAAGATCAACTAAAGATATGTGGCCACAAGAGGGATGTTGATGTCTTTGAGCTGTTCCTTTCTCAAAAGTAAGTGTACTTTAGGTAAGAAATAGAAGAGCACCGATTATAATGTTTCACAGATTCAAATGTTCTTTTCCAGTCCTACCTCACCCCCACTCACTCTCATCCAAAGACTGGATGGGAAAGTACCACACTCTAATTACTTTACCATTTATTGGAGTCACAATCTCTATTGGAGAGGCAGAACATTGGAATGGATGAGAACAAAGATTATGGAGCTAAGCTAAATTTAATCCCAGTTCTGCCTCTTCCATCTGGGTGATGTTTGTCAAGTTTAGCAAATAAAACTATGGAATATACAATTATATATGAACTAGAGGCCCAGTGCACGAATTTGTGCTTGGGTGGGGTCCTGAGGAGGGGTGGGAGTTGGGGTGAGGGAGCTCAAGACACAATTGGCTCTCTGGGCAAGTGGTGGGACACCCTTGCTGGCCGGGATGTGTCTCACTGACATTTGCTGACATTCCTGCCAGTTGTCAGGAGCCACTTGGCAGCCGCTTTTACATTGTTTCTTCTTTATGGAGCATCTAGGGAGGGGAAGCGGCCGCAGTGCCCAAGGCCGACTTCCAGGTGGTCATGCCAGTGGCACTGGTCCGTCAGTGCCTGGCCCATTCTCAAGAGATTGGACCTGCAAGACTACTGAGGGAGTGAGTGGCTGCCACTGGGCTGGTGGGCTGCAGGGATGAGTTGGTCAGCTCAGTGGTGCTCCTGCTGTGGGAACACACTGACCACCAGGGGGCAGCTCCTGCATTGAGTGTCTGCCCCCAGGTGGTCAGTGCGTGTCATAGCGACCAGTCGGCCAGTCGTTTGATCATTTGGTCACTTAGGCTTTTATATATATACTAGAGGCCCGTTGCATGAAGATTCGCACAATAGCCTTCCTTCCCCTGGCTGCTGACACTGGTTTCCTCCTGCACCTGGGACCCAGGCCTTTGCTCCGGCTGCAGTGGAGAAGCCAGGCCAGAGCAGAGAAGCCAAACCTCTTCAGTCTTCAGTCATCTTCAGTCTTCGCTCGGCACCTGCATATGCAAATTAACTGCCATCTTTGTTGGGTTAATTTGCATACTCATCCTGATTGGCTGGTGGGCATAGTGGAATGACATCAATTTGCATGTTTCTCTTTTGTTAGTATAGATAGATTTTAGAGAAACAAATGAATATATATTTTTAGGTTAAGTATGTCCCACACTGCATTTGCTGTTACTCTGAAATTCACAAAATGGGTGTCCTATATTTTACCTGGGAATCTGATCACCTGTATACATATAACAATACTACCTGCTTCACAGGATTGTTGTGAGGATTAGGTGAATGAGTAGTTGGGGAGGGCCTGGTACACAGTAAGCATTCAATGAGCATTAGTACAGTTAATATGATTAACTACTAGAGAAGAATGACTCATTATACCCATATACTATAAAAATAACTCCTACCTAACAATTCTTATACTAAGTTATTGGTAAGTGGGAAAACCTCTCCTTTTTATAATAACCTTCTTTGATTCCACTCCAACTCCCCAAGGTGGCACATGGCAAAAGTCACTGTGCTCTGCAGAGCAGTCACCATGCCTGAGATAGAATCCAGGAGGAGGGGGAAGGAGAAGCTATGGGTTGGATTGGACTCTGACAGTACAGTGTGTACTAGCCAAGTGACACCTGTGCAGTCAGTTTGCATTTCAGTAACGATGACCCTATTCTTCCCTTCAAGCTGTTTAATCTCAGTCACTTTTATGCATTTTTTGAGAATAAACTTAATAAATGTCTACTCATATGTAATTTATGGGACTCAGTTACTCTTTAAAGATAATGTTTTATTTGCTCTGGCCAGGTGGCCCAGTTGGTTGGAGCATTGTCCAGTGCACCAAAAAGGTTGTGGGTTAAATTCCTGGTTAGGGCACAGAGAGGAGGCAACCAATTGATGTTTCTCTCCCCCCCCTCCTCTCTTTCTCTCCCTTCCTCTCTCTCTAAAATCAATAAAAACATATCCTTGGATGAGGATTTTTTTTTAATGTTCTACTTTATCAATGAAGTTAACCACTTTACCTCTGGTAATTGAAGGAAATTGTTTATTAATAAACATGTTTCTTTTGTTATATATAAATATTTTTTTAATTTATTAGTGCAGAGAAAAAATATTTATCTTTGCTGTGGCCCTGAATCTCTTGGAAGCAAGGGAATAAATAACTGGCTAATTTAAGATTTTTAAATATATATATTTTATTATGGAACAGGTATGGTAGATAATTCTGACACACTTAGGGTCATGCTTTGAACCTTTCTATATAGATTAGCTACTTTTACAACAACAATCAATATTTTATGTGATCAAATGATGGCACCTCGGCCTTTCATGATTTTAACAACTGTACACTATTGACCTAACGGGTAAGTAGATAACAAAAAAAAGATTTAAAACATTAGGAAAAAATTATAAGTATTTATCTTCTGACAGTGGGCAATTAGTGGTCTTCTCAATTAAAGGACAACACATTTTTTATCCTAAGTTTGCCACTTAACCCATCTGGGTACAAAAAACCAAAACAAAACCAAAAAAAGTTGCACAGTCCAGATGCCAGTAAACTGGGTTATTTGCCTGTCTCTGTTGAGCTTGGAAAATGGAAAGCATCTTACCAATTACTCCTGGAGAAATCACTGAGAACACATACTGTGGCAGATGTTCTTTAGAGAATACCAGCTACTGAATGTAAAAAGGAGAGCATGACAGGTCAGCATTTTATAATACCAAATCTACTGATTCAGGCAAAGTCACCCAGAGAAGCTAAACCCATTGAATAAATAGTTATTAAGTAATGAGATATACACATAGTCTCTGAGTTTTGCAAGACATATTACTTTTTAATGACAAAATTTGTACTTTTTATAGTGGAGAGACCTGGCAGATACAGGCTTAACCCAGTGACTGACCTTTTAGCTTCACCAACAGTGGGACAAGCAGCAGCATTTGTCTCCCGATGTGATGCAGTAATTACCACCTTTGTTACTGAAAAATTGCCTACCTTAGATTTAATCATGAGGACATAACCAGGCAAATCAATAATGTGAGACATTCTAGCATACAGCTGTCTTGGACTCTTCAAAAGTCAATGTTAAGGTGAAAACAGGAAAGTGGCTGCTCTAAATTTAAGACTAAGTGATTTTACCAACTGAAAAAGCCATGCATGAGTGTTGATAGGGTTATGGATTGAAACAAACTATAAAATATAGGAGGCAACAGGGACAATTTGAATATGAACAGTATATTAGATGATATGAATGAATTCAATTTCATTTTCCTAGGTGTGATAATGGTATTGTGGTTATACAGGAGAATGTCCCTATTTAAAGATATGCTTGAAGAATTTAGGAGTGAGAGCCCTGCAATAATAATCTGCAATTTATTTTCAAATGATTCCCCCAGGAAATGATCAACCAATAAGTAGATATGTTATATAGGTAAGAGAGGGTGAGTGGCAAAAACATTAAAAATGATAAGTGCTATATAAGCATTCATTATATGATTCCTTCACCTTTTCTTAGATTTGAAAGTTTTCAATATAAAAATTTGATAAGAGGGGCTTCTCTTGTTTAGAAATGTTTGCATCATTTAAGAAATATATTTGCTAAAAAAATTAGGACAATAATTAGTCCCTCAGGGTTGCTTGGTTAAAGAAATATAAATGTGAAAGTATGTTGCCACATGAGTTAATGTAGGTAATATTAGTTAACATTAATATTTTTAAATTGCTTAGAAAAGTGCCTGGCACACAGGGTGTTCTCTGTACATGTGTGATAAATAGAGACATATCTGTGTGCATACTTAGTCTGGGCCCACAATTTCTGCCCTGAGAAGTAGAAGAGATCTGAATACCCCAGCCCACAGCAGCCACTCACAGGCTTTGTCTCTGCTGACAGCTCCCCATCCACAGCCATGCCTGTCCCTTAGCTGAGCGAGCTGCACCAACAACATGGCCCAGTTCAAGAAGGATGGGCAATCCTTGACCTCATCCTATATAATAAAGAGTTAATATGCTAATTAGACCGAACAACTGAACAACCTTCCGTACATTTTTCCGGACAACCTTCCAGACAAAGCCAGGGCTGCGAGGGCCGAGCCCCTGGCACACATTTCGTACATTGGGCCTCTAGTAGTCAATAAACAACAAAGGGAGAATAAAACACTTTACTCTGTCTCTGGCTCTTGGTGCACTGCAATCTCCGTATCTTAAACCCAGTCTGGCCAAGATCTGGACAAACCCAAAGTAACAAGCCTGCAGACACTGTTGAAGCAGGAGCTAATGGCATTTCTCACATTTACCTGTCCTTTTATCCCTCTCCCCTGCCCCAGTAAAATCGTTTTTTTAATTGAGTTTCCAATAAATTAAATCATAATGAGGTACCAATTTCTACTAATGTGATAAAATGCTCCCCTTTAAGTATTTGTTTTAACTGGCTATCAAAATCTTAATCCAAATGAATGAAGTATTAAAAATGGAAGTTTGGAAAATAACATGTAAGTGCCAACAATTTTGAAAGGACAAAGAAAGAAGTTTATTCAGTTACTCCAAAGTCATACTATAAATATCCTGCCTTACCTACAACTGAACTAATCATTGCTAATATTTACTTTCTTTTTCAGGGAGCTGACAGATGTTATTGATCTTTCTAGGTTTAGAAAATTAAAATACTTATGGCTGCATCATAACAAGGTAACATATTTTATCTCTAAATGTCTCTATAATTGTTTTAATAGAGCTAATTTTTTAAAGTATTATTTTCTATACCTAATTTAAACTTAGGTGAGAAAGTTTATATGCGTATATGTATGTATATTGAATAGCACAGTTTGCGAGATGTTATTATACCACAACTGCTTGTGTCTCCATGTCCTGTCAAAGCTGCTCAGAGGAGCTATTCCTTCCAGTCCCATGGCTTTTCTCACCTCTCCTATGTCATTAGAAATCTTACAGTTCATTTGAATTATAGTCACAGTTCAGAAATAAGAATGATTAGGAAAATATATTAATCAACTTTTGATCTTCATTCATAAATGAGATATCCCCTCACTTTTTCTCCCATATCCAGCTAAGCCTGGTGGCAGAGTGCCACCTGCCTTCTTTATCAGCTTAAGGAGGTGTGGTGGGTTTTCATTCCTTCTCACTTTCACCCCAATCTTCTCCACGATTGGTATGGAATCTCTAGGAAAGGGGAGATGTGGAGGTAGAGGAAAGGCAAGGGAGAAAGTTGTCTGGTTTGCACCCTCTGGTACTAAAAAAAAATATTGAGTTTTTTTCTCTTAATGGGTTATTCAGAAGCTCCCCTACTAGGTAATTCCTCTCCGCTGGCCACTTCTGACCGCCCCTCACCACTTATCCCAGTGGTACTTACAACTGAATGTCTCCTGGCCTTGACAACGCACCCTCTTGGGCAGGGTCTCTTTTATCCTGCCCCAGATCAATATTCCTACAACCGTCTCCCATGCAGTTCCTGGGGCTCACACACCTTTGTCCTGCTATCAGGGGCTAAGAGGTGGGTTACCTCCCAGTTGCTACCCATGCTGATCTAGCCTCCTCAGTAAGTGCCACGCACTAAGCTATCATGTCCCAACTACAGGAACACCCTTCAAGGTCACTGAGTGTGGCCCCTATATCTTCTCTTAGAGGCTAGCATTTAGGAGGACACCACCTCCCCCAGAGTGGGAGTCTGGGGGGCTCTAAGCCATCTCCAAGTCAAAGAGCAGGACTGAACCAAAATGCAGACCCAGTCATTACAGTTAGCTGGTCAGTAAGTTGGTTATCCTCAACTTTCAAAAATTTGAGTTTCCAGCAGCTTTCATTTTACTCATTGTAAATCCATTATACCATCTTAGCATTTTGAATTTAGACTTTCAAATGCCAGCTAAATAAAAAAAGTTTCTTGAGTTTTCAGCAATAGTGTGCTTATCAAGCATAGTCCAGACTCACAGCATTGAATCTTGAAGCAGCCATGTTCACGAAAGTATTTCAGTATCACATTGCATTTTCAGTCTTTTTTACAACCAAGTAAATGGAAAATGAAAGAGCTCCTAGTATTAAGTGTAAGCACAAGTCTCATAAGCTTGAACTAATTTCTAGAAGAACAAACACAAATATCTCTGAGACCCAGCCAGCTAACGACTGAAATGGAAAGTACTTGCACTACTTAAGGGCACACAAGTTTAAAACGCTTTATAGCCCTCTGCCAAAAACCATCCTGGGTCACAGCGGGCGACCTCTGATGAGAAAAAGATGGAAATCACAAGGCATGGCAGAAGTGACTAATCTTTGTTTCTCATGTGTGCTCCTTGTGTTCAGTTTTAAAGGGAGGAACATGTATAGCTGTTGGCAATAGGTCTAAAGAGAGAGGTGATTAGGAACTTAGTAATATTTTTTGGAGTTCTGGTAGTGGACACCATCCAACTTCCAACCAGTCATTGAATGTTCATGCAGTTGACTGGCAGATACATTATGTACATACGAAGGGATTATGTATACTGTCAACTGCTTTACTCTCTTTTGTTTTTGAAGGGGGATTGGTAGGGAAGGGGTGTAACAACAGGCAGTATTCATTTCTTGTACTTGATTCTTTATGTTCAACAAACTAGCTATGTTATTTCCAAAATCACCATCACTTAACTTTGTTTTTAGACCTATGCACCAGGAGGTCACAAGCTCAACTCCCAGTCAGGGACATGCCTCGGTTGCGGGCTCAATCCCCAGCAGGGGACATGCAGGAGGCAACTGATTGATGTTTCTTTCTCATGTTTCTCTCTTATCGATGTTTCTATCTCTCTCCCTCTCTCTTCCTCTCTCTCTAAAATCAATTAAAAATATTTTAAAAAAATACTTTTTTAGCCCACATAACACTGAAAGGAGAGCATACCCAAAATAAGTTTTAAGTGGTTGTGGGTAAGTGAATAAGTTGTTGTGAGTTTTCTTATTGATCAATAACTTACTGGTTGCTAAGTTACATGAAAAATTAAAATTTTTTTTCAAGATCCAAAACTCTAATGGGCATATTAGCTATGATAGTACTTCCTCAGAGGGCCTTTGTTTCCTCTGGATATCTTCTTGCCTGGATATGAAGCCAGGAATCATCCTGCTAACTTGAGAATGGATCCAACATTGAGAGAAAAGCAGAGCCCAGAGAATCATTGAGAGACTACGAGACTGAGGCTCTCACAAGCCTTGGACTTCTTGGTGTGTGACATAAATATATGTTCTAATTTACGTGCCAGTATGAGTTGAGCTTAGGAGTTACTTGGAGCCAGTAGCATCCTATCTGGTACAGCTTATTCTGTACTTACATTTAGGCCATTGATAGAATCCTATATAATAAAAGCCCAGTGACCATAAAAGCAGAATGACCAGAATGACCGCTCAACCAGTCACTGTGAGGTGCACTGACCATCTCTTGGTCCCTCCCCCCGCAGCCAGCAGGCTCTGATCTCGGATGGCAAACCGAGAACCAGGGTGGGTGGCGGTGGGAAGGGCAGGACTGGTGAGTAGGTGGAATGGCCGACCTCTTGGTCCCTCCCCCCGGGCCCGGGCCTGCAGGCTCTGATCACCACATGGTGAATGGAAAACTGGGGTGGGTGGCAGGGGATGTGGGAGGTGCCAGCCAAGGCCCCTACACTGCTGGTTGCCCCACACACAGGCCAACCCACGGCAGGGGTGGGGCCATGAGTGGGCGGGACCAGCTGACTTCTTGGTCCCTCCCCCCCAGCCGTTAGGCTCCCATTGCCTGATGGCAAACTGGGAAACCAGTGGGTGCCAGTGGGGGGCAAGACCAGCTGCAGGAAGCCAGGGAAGATGGCCCTGATCATAGGCTAGGCCTAGGGACCCTACCGTGCACGATTTTATGTGCCGGGCCTCTAGTATAACAATAAATGTGATGGTACCTGTTCTAGTGATAACAGGAAGTGCAGAGAGAGTGACTGTGAGGACATTGCATTTGCCAACTGTGTGGAGTGGAATGAGAGAAAGCAGTTGTCTTGGGAGGCAATGACTGTAGCCTGCTATGTTTGGAGCCCTGCATACTAAAAGGGTGAATACTTCTCCCCTTTAGGATCTAGTGGATGATAAACACTTCTGGTCTGACCCTGGACTAGCAAACTAAATTGGTACAGGTTGTTTCTAAGGACCTCCAATGCCCCAGCTTGCCTAGGTTTGCTCAGGTGACTCTGGTTCCTTCGTTATGCTCTCTCAGGGCTGGTTTTCCCCTCATACTGCAAAGATATTCACTAGTTCTGCTCCTCCTCCCTTTATGGGTCACATTTTTCTAACCTTGCCTGGTTTGATAAGTGGGAGACAGCTGCACTCAGGCCATCTCAAGACTCCCTTCCATGGCCCATCTTCTAGCAGGCCTGAGTGAGGCAATTTTTGGTCCACAGTTTATCTCTTCCAACTTTTCATAAGAAGTTGAGTCTGCTCAGACAATTGATCTAAGTGATTTATTTGTCTTTTCTACTACAATTAAGTTGTGTTCTGGTTCATTACCTCAAAATTTTTTTCAGATATTTAATAATAAGCCTGTAATATTGCTAGCACAATGCTAGTATTTTTCTATTTCTGGAAGAACCAGCAGTACTTTGGCAGTTTCATTTGTCTCAGATTAGAATAAGCTTTTGATTAAAAAAGCAAACAAACAAACAAACACGGCATAATGCCTTACCATGCAGCTGTCCAAAATGGAATCTGAGTTTCTTCCCTGTAGCAAAACCAGGTGACAAAGTTTACAAACTAAATTTAAATGAAAATACCTCTTCTAGCAAAGTCATTGCTTATAAACTTCATTATCTGAAAAATAATTGAAATACTTATTTATAACATTTTCCACGCAAGCTGACTAGAGACTGACTGGACTGAAGTAAACAAAACTGCCTTAAAAAGACCCTGAGCTTATCCTTCTTCGCCATTGTGATGTTGTTTCTCATCCCCAGACAGTAGTACATACTGAACATTTGCTAGTGAGCAGAAGCTTATGTGTTTTAGGAAGGAACATTGGTGTTCCAGACTAGTAAGCCACAATTTTAAAATTGAAATACTTATTTTTAATGTGCTGTTTTAAGTATTTTCAAAGAATTCTTTGAATTGCAGTACTCATTTTCAGGTAGCTTTCTGAGCTTTGTATCATGAATTTTAGTTGGGTCCTTAATCAGGTTTGGGTATACATATTTTAATTATTTATTTATACATACCCTACCTTGTTCAAAAAAACCATTTAGAGCAACACAAACCCCATGGTAGAGTATAAGACCTGTGAAAGAATAAAATGAACTAGCGTGCATTCCATATAATTTGGTTCTTGTGTGTTTCTGTTACCTCAGGGCAACATTAATTATATCTCTCATGTCGACTTTGTTAAAAGAATTATATTTTGCCAAATATTTAAAACCTCCTCAAAAAAGTAAGTCAAGGTAAATACCCTAAATAAGATCTCAATGCATGGTTGTGAAATTCATAGATATGTGCACTATATATTTGGCTATTCTTAAAAATGATTCATCTCAGGAATGTAACCTATTTTTGGAAAAGAGCTTATACAAAAATTTTAGTAACATGGAATAAAGAAGGGAAAACATGAGAATAAAAGTCTGTTTATACTGAATAAAATATTTGTAATACATTTTTAAAGTATAGATTGTATTTTTAAGTATTGTACATACTTTAAACCAAGCTACACATGAACTTTTTTTTAATTAACTGTATAGGAAAACCATGAAAATAAATTTAGGAATCTTGGAAATGTATTGCAATTTTTCTTTTTGTTTTCCTATGTAATTTTGTATATTGTTAAAATTCTCCCCAACTAATACTTAGTTTTATGTGAATTTAAGAAATAATGTAATTTCGTTATTCCAGTATACAGTAATAGATGCTTTTAAATAGCACATGATTATAGAATTTTTCAGAATTTCATCGTGTTGTTTAATCACTGAAGTATAGTTCTTTGCTCCTAGGTTTTAACCTTAGTACCACTGACTTTTCGAACTGGATGATTCTTGATTGTGGGGCTGTTATGTGCATTTTTGAATGTTTAGTATCATCGCTGGCCTCTACCTGCTGCATCTAGAAAACTTCCCCCGAGAAGTGACAACTTAAAATATTTCTAGACATTCACAAATGCCCCTTGGAGAGAGATTGCCCACCCAATTCAGTGGACATAGTGATCTATAGAAGCCTAAGTTAAAACATGTCATTCCTCTGCTCCAAACCTCCAATGATTTCCTGTTAATTTCAGCCAACTTCTTACACGAACCCTCAAGGCCCCACACAAGTAGACCCCTGATGACATCTGACCTCATTCCTCACCTTCACTTCCTGGCTCACTCGGATCCAGCCACACCAGGCACTGTACTGTCCCTGGCCTGTGCACTGGCTAGAACCCAGGTGCTCCTCTTACATGCCCCTTCATCAAGTGTTTGTTCAAGCCCGGCCAGTGTTGCTCAGTGGTTGAGCACTGAGGTCACGGTTCAATTCCTAGTCAGGGCATATGCCTGGATAGCGGACTCCATCCCAACAGAAGGCAGCCAATCAATGATTCTCTCTCTTGATGTTTCTATTCGTCTCTCCCTCTCCCCTCCTCTCTCTGAAATCAATAAAAACGTATTTTAAAAAAGAGTTTGTTCAAATATTACCTCCTCTTTAAGGTCTACTCTGACCAACTCATCTAGAATATAACACTACCTTAATACTAACACTCCAAATATCTATACTCTCCAGATCCAATGAGTCTGTATGGGAAAGAATGTGCGAAATATTTTTAGAGCAAAATGTCTAGGTAGGGCCCTATTACAGAAGCTTTGGAAACCATGCAAGGGTTGAGATATGGTAAGAGGGGTTTATATTAAATTATCTAAAAACATCCTTTATACCACACTGTCCTCAAAGACAATCGAGATGTAAATTCATAGCCCAGACCAAAGGTCACAAATAATTAAAAATAACAGCAAACATCTAATTTCTATGATCTATATAAATAAAAGCCTAATATGCAAAGTGTCCCCCGAGTTCAGTCGCTCGCTATGACATGTGCTGACCACCAGGGGAAGGCTCCGGCCAGCAGCCAGAAGGCCCCAATCGGCCCTGATCACTGGCCAGGCACCAAGCCTTTAGTCTTACTATAATTTTATATGCATATGGATATATAATTATTGTAGAAAGTAAATTGTTCTCTAACTCTTATTTTCAGCTCCATGAAATAACATTTCTAACTAGAAACTATTGTCTGACAGAATTGTATCTAAACAACAATGCAATTATTGAAATAGAAGGTATGTCTAAATTTTCTCTGTTGATTGAATGAATTTTCAGTTAACTAATAACTTTTAATTTTGCCATTGCTAATTGCATGCAAAAATCTGTTTTAACATTCCTGTTGAAAATATATGATGGAATCTATTAATTTTTAGCATTATATACATTTCATTTTAAGAAATGTTCTTTCAATTACATAACAGCAACATCAATCTTAATTAATGAATTATTTTTTTTTAAATATATTTTATTGATTTTTTACAGAGAGGAAGGGATAGAGATAGAGAGTTAGAAACATTGATGAGAGAGAAACACCGATCAGCTGCCTCCTGACACTCCCTACTGGGTATGTACCCGCAACCAAGGTACATGCCCTTGACCGAAATCAAACCTGGGACCCTTGAGTCCTCAGGCCGGTTCTCTAGTTTTAATGCAATCTTGTCTTGTGTCTTGATATTCAAAAGATAAATGAATATTTTTAACAGAAATTTTGCGATTTTATTGCACAGTTGGACACAAACTATATACCATGGAAACACATTTTAACAATATTTGGGAGCATTTATAAATATAACAACTTTATAAATAGTCTTAATGTTTTTTATTGGCTGTAATTTTTACCAGTCAAATTTTTTCATTATGAATTTATTTTATATGTGCAACAATCTCTAAACTGACAATTTAAAACCAGGTACAAAAGTACATGATGTACTATGTTCATGAAATATGAAGAGGTACAACACAAAACATTTTTCTTTAATATTATTATAATAGAATCAAAACATCAAATTTTAATATCTACTATGTCCCATGAAGAAAGAAAAGTTTGCCAATTAAGGTATGATGTGGCTATCACAAATTTAGAATCAACAAAAATGATACGAATATTTGGTTCTGTATAGTGTAAAGAAAATATTTTGGGAGGGGTTATTTTTATTGTTGGCTCTATTATAGATGTTCCCATTCCCCCCATGTTCCTTCTCCATCCAGCCCCTACACCCCACCTTTCCCTCTGACCATCACCATAGGTTGTCTGTGTCCATGGGATATGCATATATGTTCTTTGATTAATCCCTTCACCTTTGGGGAAAGATATTGAATTGAATGAGTATTCCCTTGATTGGCATTATAAATCTAAGTAACATTGGCAAAATAGAAAAAAACAAAAAAAAGAAAATAACCCTTCTAAAATAAAATAAATCATTACTACAGAAAAAAAGCTGTAAAACAAAAACACTGAAAAGAAATTGATTCTACATTCCACTTTATACTCAATTAATTGAATTCTTATGCTTTGTTCTATTCTTAATGGTAATTCATAATATTATTGATAATAATTCTTTCACAAGCTGTAATTATTTTAAATTTTGTGGAAAGAATAATAGTTAGGAAAAAAAATTTTTGTGGAATTATATGGCATGCCAAATGAAAGTGACAAAAGATGTTTTACACATTTAAATCAGTGGTTTGGGTTTTAGCTCAGAAGTAAGTTTTAGCACATATTATATGATTCCATTTATATGACATGGCCATCTATCAAGAAAGCAATACTGACAGGGAACTATTTTAAAATAGATCAGTGTTTTCCCAGGGCACGGGGATGAGGGGACTGGGATGTGACAGCTAAAGAACTAGGGGTGTGGGTTTTCTTTTTGTGATGATGAACATGTTCTAAAATTGACTGTGGTGATGGTTGCCCAGCTCTGTGAGTATACTAAAAAGCATGAGTTATGTATACTTAAAGTGGATGAATTACATTCATAAAGCTGACACCCCCCCTCCCCGCAAAGTAAATTTGTATTTAAGCTTTAACTGGGTGAACAGCAAACTTCATTCATGAATACTGAATCACACCCAGAAAGAAACTGGCCTCAGTATTGGAAGGAAGCATACGTATGAAATAGATTGGAAAAACAAATAATACACGGTTCCTACTCTCACTAAGCTTATAGTATTGGAGGGTAAATAAACCCATACACAATCGCATTACAGGCCAAATGGTTCTAGATGTGCTGAGGGAAAAGACGCTCAGAACAATGAATGGGTTTTCAAACTTTAGAGTTTGGAAACTTTTAAAAATAATGTCATGAAATGAATGTTGTTTCTCTCCTATTCATTTTCCATTCATTTCTCAAAATTGTCTGAGATAGTATTTTGAATATGTGTAAACTGATACCGATGGTGGAGGTTCTAATCAGATCAATACATTAATAGTGATCCAAGTTTTCATATATTTTCAGTGTTGATCAGTTATATGTGCTGTATTTAGGAGAAATGATTCATGTGCTTATAAGTGAATTCTTTAAACCCAAATGTTAATATTACACCAAGTTCATGGCAATTTCATGCTTACTTTTGTGATGTGAGAAGGTCTGTGAAAGACTCAGAATTTGCTTGCAAGTTTGAATTATCTGGCCCTTCTGTGCTGAACAAATGCTTTTGTGATTAAAAGACTGGTCATGCTAGACCCGGAATTCTCACTTATCCTCACTTTTCTATAAAATGGGCTAATAGCTACTTCTCAGGATTGCTCCGACTATTCAGCTATTTCCGTAAAAGCTATTTTTTTTAAAAAGCATTTTTTGACATTAATGCTATTTTGAAGTAGCAACAAAAACAAAAATTACTTTATTGTGGATTTGTTAATTAGATAATGGGTTAAGATGCCCAACTTAGAAATTCTGCTGAATAGTAAATAAATTAAAAATATAATTGACCTTTTAAATAATAATCATTATAATAACATATTGAATGTCTTTCCTGTTGAGAAAATGCTTTCTTAGAATATTCTGATTCAAATCTTCACAGAAATCCTTTGACATAATTAGAAATATTTCCTCTTTAGTGGTGAAAATACAAGGCTCAGAGCTTTAAACAAACTACTAAGAAATGCTGAAACTTCCAATTATGCCTCATTTTCCCCCCATTATTATTTATTCATTCATTCAACAAATATTTATCACTTATTCATTTGTTAAATGATGATTCAATGAATATCATGTATCACAATGTGACACTCTGCTAGATGGGGACACAAAAGTGAACAGAAAAGACCTTCTCTGGACCTTTAAGGAACTTGCAGTTTTATGACTCTCAGGCCAAGTATTTCTTGGAGTTGAAGGGGCTTGATTCAAAACTAATTGGATAATTTGCTCAAGATAAGAACTCAGTCTAAGCAAACTTATTTTACAATATGGAATTTGGAGGTTAGCCATCAAGGTTTCCCCGGTCAGAGTCAACAGATAATGTGCTGGCCCCAGGAATGAGGGGGTCTCCACCAGCCCCAGGCGGCTTGTTTGTGGAGTGTGTATTTGAACACTGAACTGTGTCAGCCCTGAGTGTGGCGAAGGAGCGCCTTTTCTCAACCTGGTAATACAATGTCCATAGTATTACCTATCACAACAGCTTAAGAGACCTCTACTCGAAATCAGAGTGATGGAATTCAAGTTCTAGAACTGTAATCATCCCAACTGAGAATCTTGTAGTGGAATCGTATTTTAAAATGGAGAAAATGCTGTGCCCAATTAACAAAAAAAAAAAAAGCATTTTTTAAAAACTCTTGGGAGCAAGTTTGCACATTTTGAGCATTTGCCCCATTTTCATTCAAGAAATTATATGGGAAAAAATGTTTGCATTTACTAAACTGATAACTGTATTTGTGCAGTAATGTCCTCAGATTTTCTATAAACCTCGTTTGCAATCACAGATTAGATTCAGCTCATTAGCTATGAGAAGTTCATGTATTTTGAAATGTTTAAAATTTTTATCTTTCCAAGTTGTAAAACCATATAAAATGCTAAAGTGTTATTATTCCACTTCAAGTGCAAGTTCTTCGGAGGGTGAGAAGATTGCCTGGAGGCAAGCCTCTAATCCATTTCAGCATGCACCCTCCACGGGCATTTCTGAGGAGAACTGCCAAGAGATGGCCCAGGAGACCCACGCCCCGGGAGCTTCAGGGAGGCCTGAACCAGCCGCAGAGTGTGAGGTCCTGGAAACTGGATTCCTGACTTCCTAGCTAAGTCAGGAGGGCCCCACCTCTTCTCTCCAGGCGGTCTACCTTTCCACACCCTCTTTCCCCAGCTCCACTTTCCTCTTCCCTTCCCAGCTCCACGCTCCTACAGCAGGCTCTGCCTGTGTCAAGGACACACTTCCTGGCTGATGACATTCACTAACTTTCAGGCCCCTGCCTTTCTCCTTGCACAGAGGGAACAAAACACCAACAGCAAGAAAGTCCTTACGTATTTGTGCTCTTAAACTTTCAGTCTCCGCATGTCTCTCCAATTTTCTCTGTTTCATTAGCTTCACTATTGGAGAGGATACTTAGATGCCGACATTGCATAATGTTTAAGACTTGCTTCTTAGCAGAGCTATAAGGATTCACCATTGAAAACAGAGAGTGCCCTTTTCATCAGAGGGTCTTCATTTTCCACAGGTTCTGTTCTTCAACGTTTTCTACCTCTCCTCATCGGGCAAACAGCCAGGGAATGAGGAGGGGTACTCAAGATCAGGGTGGGACTGCAATCTCAGAGGTCTCTTCATTTAGACCTCTTTTACCTGAAATGTCCTTCAAGGTAGGCCCACCCCTCCAATAACAAAACAGGACAGTCCCCCACTAATGAGAGCCAGCTGGGTTTTTCACTGCTGTATGTCCTGAAGAAGAAAATATCCTGACCCCTCCACTCTGTTCAGATCCTGCTTTAGCGGTATCCAGTGGCCACAGAGTTTAGTTAAAATAAGATGGTGATGATCATGGAGATGATGACCTTACTAAGTAACCTTGAGCCAGAACCTTAAAATCTTGGTGTTTCATCACTGGCCTCTGAACTTCCTCCATGGCTGTTCTGTGTAGGCACACAATACAACTGCTTTCAGCTTCTCTCTATCATTTTCCCCATGCGTCAAAACAGATAGGTTGGTACATTATTAATTACATCAACTTTTTTCAAAGGTGGTCTTAAATACATTTGGGTTCATTTAAATTATGATTTTAAATTTTCCTTTAAAAGTTTAAGCACGTTCACTGAAGCCAATTAATTAGACGACTTTTTTTTTCTCTTCTGTTTCAATAATAAGTAGATTCACACATGTGACTCATGTAACTCAAGTGTGTGCAGTAAGGTAGTAGAGACATTTTGATATATTGTGTGAATGTAAATTGCTTAGACTCAGAATCCCAAATTAAGATAAGCAAGACAGTGCTGGCGCCACTGAGGTGTACTCTATAAGTAGCCTAGAGGGAAGGTGGATTAACTAGTATTAACCTATTGAAAGTGAAAGTGTAAGCAATTTTGCTTCATACTTTCTAAAGGAATGTATCCCATACATCACAGAAGGCTTTTAGAACTTTCAGACACAGGAAACCAGTTTCATATCTTAGAAACTTAATTTATGGTAATTTTAGTAACATCAATCCAAAACTCATAAATCCAAAATGTGAAATGCTTAAAAGTATAGAAGGAGAAGAAAAAAAAAGACAGTTAAAAATAAGATTGCTTCCTTCTAAAATTGAAGACCTAAGGAAAAAGTGAAGAAGAATAAAGATGAAATGCCTTTCAAATTATTTAATTTTATTTATTTTTTTAAAGTTAATTCAAGCAGAGCGTGGGCTTAATAGCAGAGTTTTCAGACTTACTGTCACTTAGCTTTTCTTTTAGGATGAGATGAATGTGGAACCATAATAAGCACATCAGATTTTTAGTTTTGAGACATTTTCTTAAACTAATGTAATAGCAGTAAATCCAAATCTGAAGCCAGAAGTGGGTTGTTGTTTTTTTCATGTTTACATAAAGATGTTACTTAACTAAGCACTAGGAGAAAAAGCTAAGAAAAGAAATGAAATGGTAGCCAACCCATTGTGGCTCAATGGTTGGGGAACATGCCCTGTTGCCACTTGGATCCCCAGTAGGGGGCATGCAGGAGTCAGCTGATCAATGAGTCTCTGTCATTAATGTTTCTATCTCTCTCTCCCTCTCCTTTTTTCTCTGAAATCAATAAAAATATATATATTTTTTAAATAAAATAAAAGAGATGATATGGTAATGTGCTCAGAGGGAAAAGAATATATGCAAGGTATAAGGAAGTAATGTCACTGGAAGATGTTGGTACATCTTCCATTAACTTCATATGCAAAGGCCAATTCTGCTCTCAGCTGCTATAATGAATGAGAGGATTACAAGGTGTCAGATGTGATTCTCCAAGATAGGAACCAGAGCAGACTTTTGCACTAAAGAATATGTGACTTTTTCTCCCTCCTAAACTCTCATTAAAAACAATTGTGTTTCGCTTTTATGTCCTTAAAGGGTGTCCTTTTTCTATTCTCTTTCTGGCTCAAACTACAATACATGATCCCTGTGGATCTTTTTAAATCTGTGCTTATTACTGGTTTAATATACATCCATTCTATTCCCTGTCCTGTAGTTATAATTATTTGTTACCACTTTAAATTCCTTCTCTTTTAAGATGAAAATTCAAGCCAGTTTTGCCCTCACTTAAGAAATCTTGAAAATTTCATTTTTTCTTCTCATTAACTCCCAATACATACATATTTCCTTTCTTTAAATTTTTTTTTGTCATCCTACATTGTCTTTTATGCCTTTCCTCAGTCTTAAAACTTTTGTTTATCATGCATCAAGTGTCTTCCATTGCCTACTTTAAATCCTTCTAAAAAAAACTCACGTTTTCCCCCGGGAATAGCTATATGTAATGATTTTATTAGCCATAAACGTTTGTACAACAAATATTAGAACATTTGGTTAACTACCGAGACAATGCCCAGATGATTTACTTTTTTAGTTTTTATCTAAATAGTTCATTGTGTTTTAAGCATGCCCTCCCGTCTTTAGGTTGCAAAAGTGTTAATCAGTTTTTTGTGGATTTCTAATGCTTAATATTTTCATGATTTTATCAAGCCTGCTTGTATTTTATAGATAGTCAGATGCTACAGCAGTGCTGCTTAGTTTAATATGTACATTAAAAGAGCCTCATTGTTGAGAGTGGACTAGTAGTTGTACACTAACTGGAGCTCTTTCTGCTACTGCCATCTAGTGGTCCTCCCTAGATGTATTTTCCAGAAGTACATTTTTTAAAATTTATTTATTTTTATTTTTTTAGAAAATGCATGTAGGCAGAATTCAATAGCTCTAGATATCCAACTGGAAGTCATAAAAGTTTTATTTTACATTGTATTGAAAAACCCTGTTTAATACTACCTAAATAAGAATAGGGAAAATACTTTACCTTTTCCATTAAAATAAAACCTTCACAACTTCCTAGTTGAAGATTTTTTTAAATGTTCCAAATGCTGATACCTAAGGAATATGACGTCAGAAGTGCCAGGAACTCTTCTACACCCACATGCCTCCCACACCCTGCCACTGTATTAGCCAGCATGGCTCGTGAGGTGTCCCAGCATCTGTACACAGGGAATCAGAGCCCCCTGCACCTGGCCAGAGGTAGACAGGATGCAACATCCACACCTGCTCATCTCTGCTCCTGCTGAGATTGGAAGCTGCTACTGGCATTTAATATTCTGAACTATGTGCAATAGTTATTCAGTGGAGAAAGAAAACTATTCGAGCAGTGCCCAGCATCTCTGCCCATCTCTACACAGGCATCCCTGTGACTTTTGACGCTGGAAGAAGAGAATCAAGTGAACAGATACTTGTATTTGATAAAGAGCAGCATCAAGACCCCTGATAGCTAGTTCTTCCTGACTAATTAGCTTATGGATGTGTTAAAAGTTTTCTCACATATTGTGGATTTCGGCCAACAATATGTCCCCTGCATTTCGCACAGTTCCTAGTAGACAATAAGCACTCAAAATATTTGTTGAATGAATGAACTGAACAGACAGGAAAAGTGCTCCTCTGAATAAGGAAGGTTTTGCTGAGGATATTGGTTCGGTCTGTGAAGCAGAGCTCAACATGTCCTTACGTTTTATGTGCATCCTGTGATTGTCCATATTTCACCAAGTGATAAATGAAACTAATTTTGAAATCTGACATCTTTGCAGGTCTCTACCAAAACCCTTTTTGCCAGTATAACCTGTATCGTTTATATATCATCTACCACCTACCAGGAGTAGAGTTTCTTGACCGAAATCGTAAGGACACCTTTTTCTTGCAGAGAAATATTTGAGAGGCAGTCATAATTGAGTGCTTTAAAACATGTTGAATATCTTTGAAAATAAGTTTCTGTGTGAATGAAAGTTTTAAGATGATTGTTGAAAGGTTTGCTCTATGAAACCTGCCCGACTTTAGGAATGTATGCCTCTTGACCACTGTCTTGGAAAGGTCATCTAATTGAGTGTGAGGCTAGGTCTCTGGATTCTGCTTTAGACACTAGTGTCTAAATCATTTACCCACTGGTACCTTAATTTCTTATTTCAAGAATGAGAGAACTGGACTAAATCCCTTAACATCTATTTAAGTTCTAAAAATCATGTACATTGAAATTCTGTAAACATGTATATTAAAATGCATATAATCAATGATAACTTCTTTATGAATATATCTTTGACATTGTAGATAAACCAATATGTCTGATTCATATAAGCCACAAAAATGGTCAGTGCATTACGTTATACATTTTCGGAGGCCTGCTTTATCCAGCTGTCTACTCACATTTCTGTCTCTAGGTTTGAACATTCTTAATAATTACTGAGCACCTTCCTAATGAGGATTTATCAAAACCTTTTGTTTATGCCTTCTCTCCCCATTGCCCGGAGGAAAGGAGGGATATATCAGAGTTGTGACGTCAGTCATCCGTGGTGATGTGTGAGAAAGGGCCTGGGAGACGTTAGGGTTGATCATGCCTATGACCTGAGGGGCATCTATTGGGCACTTGTAAGATTATGGGAATGACTGTGATAGCCCTTCACAAGTTAGTTTTGACAAGATGTTCACATACAGTAATTCAGATAAAAATACAGGTGTCCCCCCCAAAACGTATACTTTAACAGTTGTTAGCTCAATTTTAAAAACAAAATGTGTTTTAATAAACACTGCCTTTATAATTATTCAAAATGTGTGTATAGATTTTGGGGGGACACCTATATTTTTGAAGATGTTCAAATCTGTTTTGAATTACTCTGCATAACTATTTATAATGCTATGCAATAACATTACCTTTTGCATTTATTAGAAGTTACAGAAAAAGAAAGAAGATCAATGATTACCATTTTTAACCATAAAAAGGCTCATATTCTTCAATCAATAGCATTCAGAGGAAAAGTAGATGCCTCATGGAATCCTAGATCACCTTTTAAGCAAAAACCAGCCAAAACAGTACCTACAGGTATTTTGCAAAAAAAAAAAAAAAGAAATTATAATTTCTCAAACTTTTGGGTAACTTGATAATAATAGTAACTGTAATTTACAATAAGTAAAATACCAACACAGTGAAACAAATATTTTTTATTTAGTCAAATTAAAGGGATATGCAATTCTTATCTTCATTTACATATATTAAATTAAATGAGATAATATAATAATAACAAGATATTGCACTGAATTCCTTACCCCAGTATCTAGCACAGTATAAAGGGATCAATTAGTAAGCTACAGTTGTTATTATACCACTATCACTCAGTTTCACCAATTAAGGCTGTAAGTTTTTGATAATATAGAAAACACTAGAGGTCCGGTGCACAAAATTCAGCCCAGCCTGCACCCTCTTCAATCCGGGACCCTTTGGGTGATGTCCGACTGCCAGCTTAGGCCCCCAGGGATTGGGCCTAAACCGGCAGTCGGACATCCCTCTCACAATCCTGGACCGCTGGCTCCTAACCACCGACCTGCCTGCCTGCCTGATCACCCCTAACTGCCTCCCCGCCAGGCTGCTTGTCCCACACAGCCTGCTGCTCAGTCATTTGGTTGCCCCTCACTAACCCCCCTACTGGCCTGGTCACTCTACTCAGCCTGCTGCTCGGTTGTTCATTCAGTTGCGATGGTTACTTAGGCTTTTATATAGATAGATATTCAGGAGAAATAAAGATCATCCATAATTTCTCCACCCAGAAATAAGCTGTTAATATTTTGGTTATTATATGCAAGTATAACTTAAATATATTCTGATATTTTATTAATTGGAATTAATTTCTTGTATGTAACAAATCCAACTGTAGTGATTTACACAAATAGAGGTTTATGTTTCTCACATAGTAAAGTACAAAGGTAGGGTTTCAGATTAGTGTAAAGTTCATTGATGTCATTAGTGTTCAAGAATGTAACTATCTTTTATTCTACTATTCTTAGTGTGCTTTATGGTTAGAAGGTGGCTGCTGCACCATCAGGCATCATAAAGAGGGATTTAAAAAGATACAAAGACAAAAACCTTTTCCTCATGACACTTTGCAAGCATACATTTGAAAATGAAAATACATTCTAGAACAGATTTTCTAAAAACAAGGGGGAAAATATGAAATTGGGAGAGAGTTTTGAAGAAATTACCCAGAATGCAGCTGAGAGAAAGGTATAGAAAATTAGCTGTTGAGATAAGCAAATATTAGAAAGATAAGGTTCAATATAAGTTTAATAATCCTGAAGGGACAAAAACATAGATAAATTGGGCAGAAGATAATGTTTGAAGTAATAATGGTGAGAATTTTCCAAATTTGGTAAATGATATAAATCCTTAGATTCATCAGACAAAATTATTCCAAAGACATAAGACTAATAACAACAAAAATACACATCAAAGGCAAAGTTATCTTAAAATAGAGAGGAAATGTAAATTTACCTACAAAAGAATAATTTGTAGATTCACAACAAGCTTCCCAACTGCAATTATGGAAGTAAGAAAATAGTGATCTAATACCTTTAAAATGCTAAGGAAAAGTAATAGTCAGCCAAGAATTTTATAACCAGCTAAATTATTATTAAAGACAGAGCAAGAAAAGAAGAAAAAAAATGAGGGCAAAATCGGGACTTTTCCCTTAACTATTGTGACATTTTTTAATATAGAAAAAGTTGAAAGAATGTTAAATACCTGTTTATTCCCATGTATATTCAATAGTAATATTCTGCCATATTCACCACCCTCCATTTAGACTTTGCCTTATGTAAACTGGAAAAATAAAAGTATCGTTGAACCATTTAAATACTTCAGTCACAGACATTATGACATTTCACTCCTAATTTGGCCTGGAAATTTTAAAATGACATTATCCTATAGAGCCACAATGCCATTATCACATCTAAGAAAAGTAACATTTATATTATTGAATATGTAATCCATATTCAAATTTTCCTAGCCCTGAGATGGCTTCCATAGCTGCTTTTTCAAGCCAGAATTCAGTCAAGATTCATCATTACAGTGGGTTATTATGGCTCTTTAATCTCTTTTAATTTAGAATGGATTCCAAAATTGTTTCCCCAACTTTTGACTTTTCGAAGAGACCAGGCCAGTTATAACAATGTAATTTGCATGATTGTTTCCACCAAGTGTCATTTAACTTGTTGCTTTATCCCTATATGTCCCATAGAATAGAAGGAATGCCTGGAGGATATGTTCTGGATGCAAAGGAGTATAGTGTAAAGCAGTGGTTCTCCAAGTGTGGTCCCCAAACCAGCTACAGCAGCAGCACTTAGCAACTATTGGTTACAAATGCTAATTCTTGCCCCAGATGAGAGCTACTAAGTTAGAAATTACTCCAGGTTGGGACCCAGGAAGCTGTGCTTTAACTAGCCTTCCACGTGATCTGTGCATAGTACAGTTAGAGAACAACCAGTGCAGAGGCAAGAGCACGAGCTTTGAAGTCAGATTCCCCTGGGTTTGAGCACCGTCTCTGCTAGTCAGTCAAAGTGGTATTTTGGACATTAATTTGCTTCAACTTTCTGATCTGTCGGAGACTTGAGTTGGCACTTATGAAGGGAAGGATGCCATGAGCTCCTCTCTTAAGGCAGAGGCTGCGTGCTCCCTGCTGCTTATGAGTTGGCATGAGCTTGCACTGTGGGCTTTGGTGGCCTAACAGGTGCTGCTACATTCCATCTCTAGCCTGGCACTAGGTCTTCTGAAGAGGAATCAACAACGCAATGACAGTCTCTGCAAGATACCAGAAGAAGGCCAAGCTTTGAGGACTAGCTTTTGAGCGCCAGGGCTAGGGAAGATGGAGATTCTTGTGATCTAGGATTTGTTTATTCCATTTCTTTGAAGTTAATGCCAAGAATCCAAATGGTTTTAAATGCCCTAAATATTTCTCCTCATTTGGTCTATTATTCCATTTGTAAATGCATATGCCTATCTTAAAAAAAAAAAAAAAAAGATCCGTTTCTGTACTTGAGACTCAGTATCTCAATGATAAAAAAATTCCCACTTGGATTCTATTGTTAAATAAATTGATTAAGCATTCTGTCCTCAGAGTTTTGAGAAGTACATTGCATTTACAAATCTGCCACAAATCTAAGACAAACCAAAGGCATTATATCTAAGAGACAGTTTCAATGTAGGGTTTGGTATCAAGGTTTGTTTGTTTTTGATGGATTGAATTATTCATTGAAATTCTTGCTCGAAAACCAGAGACCTATGCTCTTGACTTTTTCTCTACAGCACTGCTCAATTGTTTTAAAATGCGAAGTAAACATTTGAAAGATACTAATTTAGAAATTTTTTTTTTAGATTTTGCATTTGGGAATAGTGTAGACAAGTAAGTGATTTTAACTTCATTATTGGATTATTTATTTCATAATTCTGCTGACCTACCTAAATTACTCCCACTTCCCAAAGTAGATTTTAAGTGAATAAAAAAAAATGACTATCTCTTCAATAGATAGAAAAAAATTGCTGTCTTTCTGTGATAAATGAGTTCAAGCTATGTATTCATATTTGACATATTTACACTTTAATGTTTTTTTATAACCTAAAATAAATGAAAATGTGCTGGATTTGTAAAAAATTAAAACAATAATTATTAGCTATTATAGATGAGAGTCTTTATCTTTCTTATTTACTGTTCCCCTAAATATGCCCAGTGACAGCAATTATTAATATTTTATACTCACTGGAATTTACATTTTCAGAAGCAAATACTTCATTAAACTATGAAAAATATTTCAAATTTGTGAATATTGATGAATTTAAAAATCATTGCTCTCTTTTAATTTTTAACTTAGGAATTTTGTTTTAATTCAGTGTTGAAAAATATTATCCCCAAGCACATTTATAAAATATAGCACGATATAGGAACTATTCCAACAAAATATATACAAGATACTAATATGCATACAAGATCTAGAAATAGTTTAATCCTTTCATTTAACACTGTTTTAAAACATGAATGTATACATTTGTGAAACCTAAACTGTAATAGCTGATCCCAAATATGGTCAAAAACTCTATTATTAAAATAAACAATATACATAATAAAAATAGCATTACTTCTCCTGAAAGTCATTTATCAGTAGAGCCCAAAATATATTTGTTAGTGGCACTATAGAAAATGTGGCATTGATATATTTAAATTAAAAATTCATTTTGATCTAATTGACATTTTTCTGACATAATTGCCATTTTTTCAGAGTTGTGTTTGATGACCCAGAAGATGCTGTTTTTGTCAGGTCCATGAAGAGATCAGCGATGGCTTTTACCTCTCTGAACTGGAACACAGTTCCCAAACGGGAGGAAAAATACCTTGAAGACAAAGGTGCAAAACCTGCTCAGATGCTCACAATTACACTGAGATAACCCCTGGTATTTCTCGGAACCCTGGTGGTTATCAGTTGTGTATTAAACTTCTCCATGATTAGCATTGTTATTATGACGTTATTTGAAACATTTAAATAAAAACATAAACGCTATAATGAACAACATAAACTGATAAACAAAAACAGATCCAGAGACAGAGAAGCATCCATCAGACCGTCAAACCTCAGAGGGAAAGTAGGGGAGGGTGAGGGTAAGGGGGAGAGATCAATCCAAGGACTTGTATGCACGCATATAGGCCTAACCAATGTACACAGACAACAGTGGGATGAATGCATGGGGCGGGGGGAGGGATGTATTGGGGGGATAAGGACACATGTAATAACTTAATCAGTAAAGAAATTTAAAAATTAAAAAAACGCTAATATTGAAAAATTCCTACATTTGATGTTATGTTTTCGTTGAGGTAAAACGTGTATATAGAAATGTATACAAATCATAAGAGCTCGACTCGGCAAATTTTCAAACAACGAACACGTCCATGTTACTGGACCAAGAACTAGAACATTGCCAGCACTTTAATAGCCTCCTCGTTCTTGTCACTAGTACTGTTACTCATTACTACCCACACTTCAAAAAGTAATCCCTGTCCTGATTTCTAAAGTGTACATGAATTGTGTCTGCTTTTGAAAGGCATATTAATGGGATCACAGAAGTGGCATTATTTTTTTGTCTGGCTCCTTTTACTCAGCATTGTAAAATTCACCCATGTTGTTGCTAATAGCAGTAATTCCATTGTTCTCATTGCTGCACAGTCTTGCATGGTATGATTATACCACAATTCGCTAATCCAGTCTGCTGTGTTGGAGGCATTTGTCATTTGCATGTGGGCTAATAATCTGAGCTTAGCCTAGCCAGAAGAATGCTACCAGTGGAAGGAGAAACTAGAAAAGCTTTCAGCAGTTGTGTGGGACTGAGACACAAAACCGGGCAGTTAAGGTAACTCAAACACATCACTGGTTGGCTCTGAGATAAAGAGCAATGATCCAAAGCTTACAAAAAGCAGGGTGACATTTCCCCCTTTGCTGGTGCTTAGAACCACCACATTCTGTTACATAGATTTAGAGGGTGCGGCAACATTCGGTTTACAGTTCTTCATGTGGAAAACAATACAATAATTAGTAAATAATAATACAAGAATAAACTCTGTTTTGCACACTCAGAGCTGAAAACCTGCTTAGCCTCACCCTGACTGTAGAAGTGGGCTGAGATCAGCATGGGCAGGGGAGGGGAGCCTGGAGGGAGCGGTGAGCTGTCAGTGGGAGTCTGTAACCAACATCTACCTGTGGGCCCCTAAGATCTGATGCACAGCCAGAGTCTGCAATTCCCATGTGCTCCCTGGCAGAAGGTGACAGCTGAGAGAGAGAAAGGAGCTTGGCACTGATGTGGGTGCGTGGCTGATAGCAAGGCACACATGATGGTGTGGCTTCCAAATTAGGTCACAGACAGAATCAAAATGTTCTCTTGTTCTCTCTCCTAGACCATGTAACTCTGCAGGAAGCCAGCGGCCATGCGTGAGGACACTAAGGCAGTCCTCCGAGGAGCTGCCTGAGGCCTTCCCAAAGCCAGGGAGGAGCTCAGGCCTTCTGCCCACAACCCTGTCAGCTATAAGTCGTCCTCCCGACCCAGTTAAAGCCTCAGATGACTGCAGCCCTGGCTGGAAGCTGCTCTGCAACCTCCTGAGAAACCCCAAGCCAGAACCACCCAGTTAAGCGGCTCCTGTATGTCTGGCCGGCTGAAACTGTATGAGATAATGCTTACGGAGGCTTCCAATTAATAAGTTTCTGTGGTAACTGGTTACACAGTAATAAATAAGCAATACAGTAATCACCCCGCATCATCCATGGTGCTAGAAACATTAGCTAGAGATAAGGATGCCTTATGAAGTGTCTGGCAAGCTCTGAGCGTCACAGTCCAGTTTTCAAGGGTTCCTGAATAAGGTCCCACCATCAGCGGCAGAGAACTAGTCACTGTTGAGTTAGTTCTAGGCATGCTACTGCATCCCTTCTAGCACTGGGAGCCTGACCATTAGCCATCAAGTAACAGTTTGATCAAAGCTACTCCTCAGGAGCTGAGTGTATCAGACCCACCACGCAATAACGTTGGCCAGGTATAGCAACAATCCATTTCATGATGGAAATGTATATTTAAACAGGATCAGGTTTAAGCTGGTCCATGAATTGCATAAGAATTAATTTTTAATTAGATTTGTAATAAGTTTAAGGATGGGATATTGTAATTTCCAGATTAACCACTAATAGAGTAGTAAAAGAATGTGTAGTTTGGTATTTTTAAGTTTATAATCACTTGAAAAGGATGAAAAGTGTATTCCAATTACAAAAATATGGTTAGGAATTTTTACTTAATCTCCTTTTAAATATTTCATTTGAATGAAGACTTGCTTTAAAATGCACTCAATACTGAACATTTTTATTCAATAATGAAAGGCTACGAAGTGTCTGAGATTGAAAAACACAGTACTTGGGGAGAATCACAAAATAAAAAAGACATGATCTTTAGTTATATAACCTAAAACTCTACAAAATGGACGATGCAACTGAGAGGGTGCTTTTAAGACATGTTGGAATAGTAAGACTGTACTTAGTCCTACAGGTTCTATATTTGAGATGTTTCTTAATAGCATCTACTTATATAAAAACCATGGGTGGTGTTCATCACATCCAGAAGAACTGCCACGACCAAGCGAAAGGAAGTCAGTCCTGCAGGGGTTGTCTTGGCAATGGCTGCACCCTCCCCCAAGCTGTTTCCTGGAGCTGTTTCCCCTAAGGGCAGGGTTTGAGGCAGGAACCCGTCCTGGGAGTGTGGAGGCAGATCTTTCTAAAGTGTGCCTTGCGCCAGCACAGCCAGGGATGAACCTGAGTGGAGGCAGCTGAAAGGCTTAGAAAAGACAGACAAGAGAATGAAAGCCAGGTCTCGGTGGGACACTGCTTCTCTGAGAGACAGCAACCATGCCCAGAGCCATGCCTTTATTTTATAGCAGATGCTACGAGACAAAGTAAGGGCATGACCAAGATGTTTACAACATTCTCCTGGGTTTCAATCCTACTCAACTACATGCACTTGAACTCTATCAAGCCTATATCACTCAGACACCTGAGACCATGTGTTTGGACCATAGGTTCAAGCTTACAACTATAGCTGTTGGCTATAACTGTGTTGGAAGGGCCCTGCCCTCCAAGCTGGGACTTGCACTTGGCAATGAGAGGACTGTGCCCTCTCATCAGTCCAAGACTTGAACCTGTCCAAAACACTGTAGCGGCTCCCCACCA